TTGGTACTTTGTTCCCTCTTCAGGGGCGAGCTGCCTAATGTTGTCTTGGGACAATGACTTCCTCTGGTAGTCCTTTCATGACTTCTGATTCTCGAAAAGGACAGTATTTTTTTCTCTCAGTGGATTTTTCTCTTCTGTTTTTTCTTTTTTCCCCTATTTGCTTTCTCTTCTTTCTCCCTTTCCAGAAAAGGATTTAGAATTACTTATATGAAGGTGTTTTGGAGTACAGGGCAAAATACCCTTTTCTATCTGCTACTGTCACATCTGCTAGCAAACTGCAACATGCAAATCTGCTCTTTTAAACAGTACCACTTTAAGGAACAAAGTGACTGGCAAGGATAACCCACAGAAGACACTGTGGGCTATAGTCTGTTCATGTATAACTGTGCTTTTTGACTACACAGCTTACCTTTGGAGTGGGCACTTTGCTCAGAGTTATAGGTAAGTAGCTACGATTAAACCAAATGCACAATATGGAGGACAGTTGGATTTTTCCCTTGCATTAATGATGTGTAGCATACGCACCGGTGATTGCAAATTGAGAGTAGGAGTTAGAGATAACAAGAAATCATGAAATTGACCTTGCCATTATGGGAGTGGAACTTTTTCTTAAATAGATAATGAATATGTGAGGGAATGTATGAGTTATGCATGGAAGTGATTAAGCATTTTGCCAGTGTCTGCCATAAACACTGTGAAAGATCAGAAAAGAATGGGTATTAACACTTTGTTTTGTTTTGTTTTGTTATCTCTGCTCTTACTTGTTCCAGTCTCCTTATTCCATTTCAAGCATGCTCAATCTTTGGCTTTCTTTGTCTTTTGAGTACTTTTATCATTCTTTCTGCTTTCCTTTTCCACCTGCCATCCTCTTTGTCTATTTATTTTTGTTTTAGTCTGTTCAATCTCACTAATTTTTCTTTTGTGAACTCCCTATCTGTTTCCATGTCTTCACTTATTAGCCATTTAGGCTATGAACAAATGAACTTATGTCAGAGATACTTTTAGGATAGTAAAACAATAATCATAAAGCCAAGTGCTGGAAGAAAGCTGTAAAAGTTATCCACCTCTCCTCATGTCTACTGGTAGCAAAGCAGAGCGATGTCAACTCTTCTGGGAGTTACCTCCTTCACTTTCTAATTACCTCTATGGAAATCTGTACAAGCTCACGTTTTCACAAAAAGGATCTTTGTAGAGTAAACACTGAGAATCATGGTTCAGAATCACAGTTGAAGTCAAACTGTAGGTCTTTGGAGTCAAGATCTATGCAAGATAGAAGTTTCTGGTAATTCTCTCTACTCAAGGAAGGACTGGTTTAGGAAGAATATCTACAATTTATAGTGCCTTCCTACCAAGAAAGTGTGAAAGTTTTCTCTTTGGCTCCATGGTTGTCCCTGCACTTCTGTTTCCATATGCATTCTGCAGACCTGGTGTGTTTATCATGATTGTAGATTATCACATGGCAGTATAATTCTGAAAACTGCAATAACTATCATGTCTTACTACATCTCCAGGAATATAACACAGTCAGTTGAAGATGGCTGTGCCTTATAACAGTCTTATATATTAGTACAGTATTACAAATACAGGCCTTATAATACTAGTGGGTACTTTCCTGCCTACCTGTTTGCTCAGCTTCCTTTCAGCTTTTGTATTCTTCTGGCAGAGATATTGCTAGAAATTCAAACACGCCAGCATTTCTGTAGCCAGACCTGTTATTGTTTCTGTGTAATGAGTGAAGACAAAAGCCTTCAGTTTCCTGGTGTCTACCTACCTAATATATATTAATTGTCTAATAGACAATTTTAAGGCATTTCTGATGGAAGACAATAATAGAGGCTCTGGACCTTATTGCTTTCGGTTTCAGGGAAGGATGATGATATCATACCTCCAGTTGTGGCCATCTTTTCCCCATCAAAGCAAGAGATCCAAGAGAAGAGCAAGGCCACACTGGTATGCCTGGCCTCTGGTTTCTACCCTGATCATCTGAATCTGGTCTGGAAGGTGAATGATGCTAGGAGGACAGAAGGGGTGGGAACAGATGAATTTTCCACGCAGAATGGGAGTACCTTCTCATTGACCAGCCGACTGAGGATCTCAGCCCAGGAATGGTTCAACCCTTTGACCCGTTTTGAGTGTGTTGCCAATTTTTTTAAGAATGAAACCCTACAATCAATACACAAATTCATCTATGGTGATGCTGGTGAGTAAAACATGTTTATCACCATGCTGTACAAACCAGAAAGCACAATTCAAAAAGATAGGGGTTATGATGTAAAACATCTATATGCAACTTCCATACAAGGATTTGTTATAGCATAAAGATATAAATATATATAAGTATTTGCATATGTCTCTTCATATTCCTGGGCCTCTGTATCTACATTATTATTGTATATCTATAGTTTATCAAAGGTTTCTTCATATTTTCACTTAAAAAACCAGTGTAGCATAGTATACTGTATAATATAATCAAATATATAGTGTAGTAAAATTAATTAATTATTGTAAACTAAAACTTCTAAAATTTGTGTTTTCTTTGTATTGATCAGAAACATGACGTTCAGTTGATTTTTGTCTTTCAGGATGTGCACTCTCAAAAGGTATGTGTGTCTCCCCACAGCCAGGTATCTGTATGTGTTACTTCTAGTTTTACTGACACTATGTACAAGGTGTGTGAGACTTCTACTACAAGAATAACTTGTGCTTCCTCACCTAAGTGCTTTGTATGTTAGACTGAAAAGAAAGAAAGAAAGAAAGAAAGAAAGAAAGAAAGAAAGAAAGAAAGAAAGAAAGAAAGAAAGAAAGAGAGAAAGAGAGAGAGAAAGAAAGAAAGAAAGAGAGAAAGAGAGAAAGAAAGAAAGAAAGAGAGTAAGAGAGAAAGAGAGAAAGAAAGAGAGAAAGAGAGAAAGAGAGAAAGAGAGAAAGAGAGAAAGAAAGAGAAAGAAAGAAAGAAAGAAAGAAAGAAAGAAAGAAAGAAAGAAAGAAAGAAAGAAAGAAAGAAAGAAAGAAAGAAAGAAAGAAAGAAAGAAAGAAAGAAAGAAAAAAAAAAGAAAAATACTTTGGGAGGTTTGTATGTGTATGCTATATGCAGCTGTTTGGGTTTTTTAGCTCTTCTTTATGATTCCCTTTCGAAATAACAGAAGACGTTTTGCAACCTCCTTATAGAGTGCCATTTGCTCTTTTTATAATCTCCACCAGTCCTTAGCACTGCCTTCTGTTGGGAAGATGGTTACTCAGCCACAAAAGGAAAAAATCATACTTAGCCAAAGTGATAATGACATCAAGATTCAGAATCTGGAATTCTGAATATTTCTTAGCATCGAATTCAGAATGCTTCTTATTACAAATCACATTCTCCTCCAAACTTCAAGGATACCCATATTAAAAATAATGTTCTTTAGTTTATGTATACATACACACACACGCTCTTCTTTTTCACCCAGATCTTTAATGCTTCAGGAGTCTTACAGCTGAACCAAGATCAGGCTGTTCTGTAAGAACATAAATTGCAGATACTAAGTTTTTCTAGGATGTGTAAAACTTCTCTGATGTATCAGCAGCACTCACAAGGCCACTGACAATGAGAAGTGAAAAAAAATCTTAACTTTTGATCCAGCTTAATTTGAGTTTCTGAGAAGGGAGTCACATGAACAGTCTAGTTTTTCAGTAGGTGTGGCAATACAACAGTTAAACATTTCCAGTCCGGACATACTTTCTTAACATAAAGCCTGTCTTTCCTAGACTTGTTTTCTTTTTTGGTTCTGTAAATCACAGTGTTATTTCCCATCCTCTGCTATCTTGTGTCAACAGAGCCATTCATTCACCTCTAATTCATTTGTGTTGCTTAGCTAAATATTTCAAGCATTCTTATTTGATTAAAACTACATTAGGTCTAGTATGCTATGATTATGATAATTCAATGCATAAATTATGTTTGATTTGCAGAGTCCTACTTGTGGTATGGAAATTCTCTGAAGCTCACTTACCTCATTCTCTGTGGCAAAGCCTTGCTCTATGCAGTTTTGGTGAGCAGTCTGGCATGGAAAGCCAAGGTAGGCTGGTATGCTACTTACAGGTTGAGCTTACTCACTACTAGTACAAGGATCAGCAAACACAGATTAAATCTGTTCTCAGCTGCAGGCTTGTTCTCCATGTGCTCTGCAGGGCTTTGTGCAGGCTAGTGGTGATTTTTTTATTATTGTTTTTCCAGAATAAAAAAAAGTAAAATTCAATGCTATCTAGCACACCTTCTTGAAATACTCTTTAAACACATGCAAAAAGGTGAGAATTAAGGAAAAATTCTGCAGACAGAAGGGAAACATTACATATCTTGTACTCTTCTACAAGCACTGGGACTCATGCCTGCAGTGAAAGTAATAAGGAAGGGTTTTGAGGAGTTACATCGGACAAATCTGAAGGAAGATTCATAAAGAACAGCAGGACAAATGTGAACACATGAGAGAAGTTTAACTAACTACTAGGAAATACTAGGAAATATTGCTAAGTTTCTCACATGGCTGAAAGATATTTCCTGGAAGCCTCAGCACTGGGAGATGTATTTGAATAGTGACCTGGTAGAATTGAGGGTAAGTAAGAACACAGTCTCAATTATGGGTTTGGGTCATTTTTCAAGATACCATAGGGAGTAGGTTTGTACTTTGCTGGATCATAATCATGGTTTGGTTCAGAAGGGACCTTTAAAGAGCATCTAGTCCAACCTTCCTTGCAGGAACATCTTTCCCTAGATCAAGTTGCTCAAAGGCCACACTTTCAGTAGTGGGCCATTGACACCTTTTCTGGACAACCTGTTCCAGTGTCTTACCACACTCCTTGTAAAAAATTTATTCCTTATATCTAATTTAAAGCTACCCTGTACAGTTTAAAACCACTGCCCCTAGTCCTTTCTAAGGCTTGGTAAAAGGTCTCTCTCTCTCTTCTTAAAAGCCCTCTTGTACATTGAAAGGCTGCAAGGAAGTCTCAGAGGGTTCTCTTCTCCAGGTTGAACAATCCCAACTGTTTCAGCCTTTCTTCACAAGAGAGGTGTTCTGGCCCTCTGATAATTTTTGTGTCCCTCTCCTGCACACATTCTAACATGTCCATGTCTTTCTTGTGCTGGGGGCCCCAGAACGGGGTGCTGTACTCCAGGTGATGTTCACATAGGCCCACCCCTCAAGCCTGTTCAGGTCCTTCCGGATGGCATCCCTTTCCTCAAGCATGTCAACTGCACCAATCAGCTTGGAGTCATCTGCAAACTTGATGAGTGTGCATTGAATCCCACTATCAATGACACACTGAAAAAAGTACTGTATTGGTTCCAATATGGGGCCTTAAGGGAAACCACTCCTTAATGGTTTCCATTTGGACATTGAGCCATTGACTGTAACTCTTTGGGAATGATCATACAACCAATTCCTTACCCATGTAACAATTAATCCATTAAACCCATATACCTGCAATTTTGCAGCAAGAATGTTGTGGGGTACCATATCCAAAGCCTTACAGAAGTCCAAGTAGATAACATCTATAGCTCTTCCTTTGTCCACTGATGCAGTCACTCTGTTATAGAAAGCCACCAAATTAGTAATCTAACACAAAAAGTTGTGTGCAAAGATATTAGTTCAATATGCAAACAAATAATTTGTACAGGTTAAGACATTTTCTTCATACGAAAAGGGGAGAAAGCATGGAGATACAACACGGTCATTACTGTTAATGCTGTCAGAAGAAACAACAGTTGGGACATGTTCAATGTAGTCCATTATTACATAGTTTGTAATATATGTTCCTTTTGTTTGATTTTTAAATCTGTTTATTCTCTTTTGTTTTCAATTAGGGTGATGGGAAG